AAGATAGACAGATAGATAGATAGAAAGAATAGAGCAAGGGTCTTTAAACTTAGCAAGTTTAAGACTTGTGTGCTTCAAACTCCCAGAATTCCTGAGCTAACATGACTGGAGGAGGAATTCTGGGAGTTGAAGTCCACAAGTCTTAAAACTGTTAAGTTTTAAGACCCCTGGAATAGATAAAGAGAGAGAAAAGAGAGAGAGAGATGATCGAATAAAGAGGTAGAATATATAGAGATTAGATAGACAGATAGATAGATAGATAGATAGATAGATAGATAGATAGATAGATAGATAGATAGATAGATAGAATAGAGCAAGGCTCTTCAAACTTGACAAGTTTAAGACTTGTGGACTTCAACTCCCAGAATTCCTGAACTAACATGACTGGAGGAGGAATTCTGGGAGTTGAAGTCCACAAGTCTTAAAGCGGTCAAGTTTGAAGACCTCTGCTATAAAGATTATGTCGTGGCTATGATTACATATGCATGTATGTATATGAGTATGGCTATGATTATGAAGTGGCCACAAAGAAGAGGGGATCAAATTATTTATCAAAGCACAGGAAGGGAAGGAAAGAAACAATGGATGGAAACTAATCAAGGAGGAGAAGCAACCTGGAATAAGGAGAAACTTCCAAACAGTGAGGACAATCAACCAGAAGTTGCCTCCAAAAGTTGTAGGTGCTTCAATCGCAGCAGACTGAAGAAGAAAAAACCCATCATACAGAATATAAAATAATAAATCACTTTATTAAAAATAGTCACTTGAGTTTAACTGCAAAAACAATTCTATGATTATATTAAGTCATTGTAGTACGTCTAAAAAAATAAATCTTTCTTAACACGCTGGAATATAGCTTCTCAAAGTCAACAATTTTCATTATATAATCAGGTTATTTACAACTCGGGCCATCCTTTACACACAACTCAATTCTGCGTTTCAGCGTGGATTGACACGCAACTTATGCATAGCTTGTAAAATCCCGCCCCCCCCACCGATGCGTTTGTGAATTTTTTTTTAAAAGGGTGAAAAAGAAAATCGACTGTCGTGAAGAAAAGTACCCCAGACAGATTTCCATGTAAAACAAGTTCTTGTTATTCTCTACGTGAAACGAAAGGATTAAAACGAAACCCCCAAAGATGTGAGGGGAACAACAATGACTCCCACACCAACACAACTCTTTGCCATGTTTTAATAAGTGGGGTTCTTTTCTTTTGTTTTTTGGAGTTCAGATCTGGCCACAGGAGGAAGAGCTGTGTCCCTTCAAACGATGCCACTTATAAAAAAAATAAGTGGGGCAGATCAGGGAACGTTCCTCGAAAACCAAATTTAACACTTTTTTTAAAAAACTGGCAGCCATCCAGGCGCTTAAAGGTCCCCCTTCCTGAAAGCTAACTGGCCTGGCTAGATGGAAAGGAAGTTGTGTGTGTGATTTTTTTTTTTAGCAGCATTCTTATTGAAGTTCAAACTGTCAGTTTCTGGTTTCCTCCCCATGCAATCGCCATAAAGTGTCAGCAGAAGTTGTAAGTCTACCCCCACTTTGAGTTGAACTGCCACTGTAGTGTTCAACAAACAACAAACCCAACAACAACAGACCAGCTTCCTTCCCAGGAAATGCAACCACAACTCTACAAAAGAGATCAGTGACAACAAGGTCTTCTACCCAACCCCCACCCCCACCCCCCCCCGGTGTTCCGTGTTGTGAACATCTGTTTAAAGCCAGTTTGTGCCACGAAAGTGGTTGTTCTTCTTTTTTAAACAAGTTTTCAAATAAATATGTCAATAAATAAAAATGCAGCGGTTGTTTTTAAAAAGGAAAAAAAAATAAGGTAAAACAGCTAGATCGCTAGAGGTTTTATCACTAGGAAAGCATCAGGAAGCACAAAACGAGGAAGAGGACTATTTTAAATCTCAAAAGGGGGATTTATTATCCTGGGTGCTTGAGGGATTTTTTTTGCATCCTAGCAATCCCTATAAGCCATTTCAGGAAGGCGAAGAAGTAAAATTAAAAACTGAAGATCCCATTTATTCTCCTGGAATTGCAATGTTATTAGCCGGTCCTCACTCTTTCCTCCATAAAGAGGCAACTGAGACTGAAATCAATTAATATTACATTCAGGTTATGTTTTGCCACCTAATATAGTATCTAGTGCAAGGGGGAAATACGGATAATCTGCCACTCAACTTCTGAATGAAAGGATGGCATCCATTTCTCAGGTATTCCTTCCACAGTGTTCTCTCAAAGCCACCAATATCAACAAGCTACCTGATGCATCCTTTACTTCAGGGGAGAACCTGGTATCCCAGAATAGCAACTCAGTTCTACCCATAAATGATTAAATTTAAAAAAAAAAACACCTGCAAAACTCTGCTTCATCTATCGCACGAATCTACGGGCATGCCACCAACTTATCCCAACCGATGTCCTGCTCACTGCACAAACTTTTCCGCTGACATCTGGATCCCCAAGCATCTGTTACGATGCCTTTATGCAAACTGAAATGGGAAAACTTAAAAGTCAGGTTTTTATCCTGAGTTTCTGCAATTCCAGTTACTCCACCTATGGAGGACTTGCTAGAACACAGGCAAGCCTTTGAACTGGGATACAAAAAAGGGGTTCTCCCCTCTTTTCCAGAAACTGTCAGGTCAGCGAAAAAGCCCCTACGATTGGCACCTTCCTTCCAAGAGACAGACTCAAGGAAAAGGGATCGGGTTTGTAAAACAGAGCTATTGTTGCTGCTGCCCTTTGAACGGATGGAAAAATCAAGAGATGTACAAGGCCCACGACCTCTTCTCTTTGCTTTCTACGATAATTCTTCACACCCTTTTCCATTCAGCCTTTTGTGTTGGCCTTGCGCGTCTGGCTTATACCGCTTCAGACTGCAACGGGAATGGGCAGAGAGTTGCTGGCATCGCAACTGGTGGCGTGCCCGTAGATTCGTAAAAAGGACGCAACTTTCAGACGGGCAGTCCAGAGCAAGTTCAGCCGTTCTGACAACCTGAAGGTTGAGAAAGGGCCTTGGGGTTGGGGTGGGGTGGGGGACTATTCGGTCAATACAGATGACAACGACCTGTGGACTTCAGCTCTCAGAAGGCCTCAGCCGAGAACGCTGGGAGTTGGAAGTCCACAGGTCGTAAAGTCGACAAAAGGGGTGACCAACCCTGTCCAGTTCTTGGTGCACTTTTGCAGGTTGTTCAGTTATGAAGTCTACAAGAAGGGAAGGGAGGAGGGAACCCCTCCAAAAATATACACCAAGAACCCCCAACAGTTGCAAGATATTATCTCTCCACCCACCGAAAACATGATGAAATACCGAAAAGATCCCGGCCCCGATGGAAAAAGCACCTCTGATTAAAAGCGTAGGATGGAAATAATCCGATCCACACTCTCTCTCTCTCTCTCTCCGATTCATCCCACCATGCAACCCGGTGCGCGCCCAATTAAGTTAGCCGACTCTGGCTAAATCCATTTCGGAGGTCACCCCTGCCAATCTGGGTTAGCTTTTGGATTTTTTTTTGTTTTGCGGGGGCGAGGAGGGGTTGTTTTTGTTTTCATGGAATCTCTCGCAGCCGGCGCCCCCCAATTAGGGCATGAAGACCTTCTGCCGGTTTGCAATGACCTTACAACACCAGGGACACTTCTCCACCACCTTGGCGCACTCTTGGCAAGCCAGGTGTCCGCAAGGAATGAAGACCACGGAGAGAAGCTTATCCATGCAGATCTTGCAGATCTTTTCTTCCTCCAGACGTTTCAACTTCTCTTCTGTACTGAGATCTGTCAGTGGGGGGGGAAAAAATATTTTATGAGATACCTTCACCAAGGAGGAGGGGAAAAAAAAGGCGGGATCCATTATTCCAGGAGTTACAAAGAGAGAACCCAATGGGCGTCCGGCAAGTGGCGAGTCCTGAACCTAGAACAGGGGTTGTGATGACCCAAAGGGGCGTGGCACAAAGGCAACACAGTCAGGCAATCAGTAGGAGTCCCTTCATTAGCTCCAACTTTGCCCCCAATGTCCTGGTTACCTTCTAAGCTGGAGAAAAACTCTTCCAGGAACAGCCTTTGGCTGCAGAGAATCAAGTCCAAACATGATCAACAAAAACTGTAACTATCAGTCCAATCAGGGCAAAATGAGGAAATTAAGTTTGGCAGGGCAGGAGAAGGAATTCCAGATGTGAAGGAACGGCTGTAATTCAACACGGCTGGGAGGATGCCAGGAACACAGATAAGCAAAGTCAACACAAGATAAACTCATGTTTGTTCCCAGCAGATGCCTCACTCAGCATGCATCTCTTTTAAACTCATTCCCAGGTGTGGCTAATGAAGGGAATCAGGGCCCTTTCCTCCCCCATAAGCCATGCAACCCACGCTGTGCTCTTCTCAGTTCCTCCCTGTGTGCTCTAGGATGAAGAGGGGGTGGGCCTGGGTCTTCCTCTGAACTCTCTCTCCCTTGATCTACCTCTCCCTTGCTCTACCTAGCTGGCCTGTGCCCCTCCCCAGTTTCCTCCACAGCCAACGGAGCCACACTCCCACTCCCTGTCAGCTGTTCGTCTTCCTCCTCTGATTCAGACTCTGATGGGGGAATGACAGGGGTCCGCAACCCGTGGCTCTGGAGCCACGTGTGGCTCTTTCATCTCTCTGCTGCGGCTCTCTATTGCCGATCGGCTTCACAATTGATAGGGCTTTTGTTAGGACAGGTAGAGGAAAAAGGAAGCTGTGTTAGGATGAGACTCTATGATGGGGGAACAGGACGTCCAGTCGGCAGAGGAAAAAGGAAGCCGCGCTAGGAGGAGACTCTATGGTGGGGGAACCGGACTTCCGGTTGGCTGCAGAATTGGACAGGGGGCTTCCAGTTAGGACCTTTGTGGCTCCTTGAGTGTTCAAGGTTGCCAACCCCTGACCTAGAACTGACCTAGAACTTGCAATAAATCTTTTAAAATTACAGGTAGTCCTCAACGTACAACCACAATCGAGGCCAACATTTCTGTTCAAGTGAGAGACATTTGGCAGCAAGGAAGTTTTATTATTTAAGTTGCTTTGGGGGAAAGCTTCTCTCTTGGTAAAAGCCCAGGTGTCTTCTCCCCCCCCCCCCAAAAAAAAGAAGAAGAAATTAGTTTTGTCCCATTTTAAAACATTTCTTTCCCCCGATGTTAAGTGAACCACTGCAGTTATTAAATTACGTAGCAACACGGTCGTTCCATCAAATCTGGCTTCCCCACTGAACTCACAACTCATCAGTTGTGGCTTTATTCATCAGGTTGCGAAAGAGGATCACACACACACACACACACACACACAGAGAGAGAGAGAGAGAGAGAGAGAGGGAGGGAGGGAGGGAGAGAGACTGCAACTGTCATAAGCAGGAGCCAATTGCCAAGCCTCCCAAAGTTGGTTCACGTGACCACGGCGATGCTGCAACGGTTACAGGTGTGACCAACAATCCTACGTTACTTTTTTTTCCAGTGCCGCCGTCACTATTTGAACGGTTGTAACTCGATACCTATACGTTTCAGGGATCAAGGCAAAACATGGGGACTAAACTATGTGAAGAACGGCTGCAGGTTTTGGGTCTGGCTGGTTGAAAGAAAAAAAGAATTAGGGGTGACAAGATAGCAGTCTTTCAGCATTTGAGGGGCTGCCACAAAGAGAAAGGGGGGGGG